ACAAACTTTCGCCTTTATTATATTAGTAAGGATATATAACATATTTATATATAATAATATATATAAGTAAGGATTTACAATAGCAGCAAAAATTTTCATGCGGTTAAGGTCATTTATAAGAATCCTAATTACTTAATACCATAACCTTAATTGTCTTGTAGATGTTAGCACAATTATTTTAGAGAAAGCAATCAAAACAATCGAAATAGGCCACAATTAAAAACTCAAACACAGATTATAGCATAAACGTGCAAAAAAGAAAAAGAAATAAGTTCGCGCCAACATATCATAGCTTAATACAAGTCCCGCCGCCGTCACATCCCGTCGGTGTTTTACACAAACCGGCAAATATAATAAAAGCCTCTCAGACACCCCCTCGCCACATACGTAGGTATTCCAATACGTTACGTAACTAAGTATTTTTGTGGCATGTACCTAAAAAGTATTTATATATCGTTTTGATTGTTTCTCTAGCAGAAATAAAATTTAAACATTCCTCAGGGAACAAATTTTACAAATTTATACAATAGAACATTTACATTAAATTATGATTTATTTAATTTAATAATAATCTGTACATCTGCACTGCAAATATGATAAAAACAAACTTTCATTTTTGAATTTGGCAAACACCGCGGACTAAGAAAAAAAGAAACAATATCAAATGTCTTCCAAATTCAAACGATTACGCAAAAAGATCTCATAATGCTGCTTCCACACCAAGGCGAATCAACGCGATCCGATTTTGGATTATATTGTACGCAAGTACCCATCGAGAGTTGTAACACGTCTCATTGACTTTAAACAAGCCTTTGTGAATTAATAACTTACGATTTTCGATTTTATTACTTACAACATAAAGATAGCTTTTGCAAGCCTTTTTTTATTTGCCAATATTGAACCGGTCCTTCGGAATTAGACTGTATAGTATGAGACATATAGTTTATTTTATATTGTTAACTAGTTGTTTGATGAGCGTTGACTACTGTTGCCTACTTGTTATTATACTCCGCCACCCGCGGTGTTTGTTTGAGAAACGCCGCGTTTTTTACCCGTCGCGCACTTTTGTTCGAACTTTTATTATTCTATTATCGGGCGCGGACTAAATACCGAACATAATGAGTTTAAAAATTGGATAATGCATTGTTGGGGGCACGCCATGTTTGTTTCTTTGTGCGTCGGCGATGTTTGGATTTTGCGTAAATAAAATGGCGATTTGTGTCAATAGAGACACGTTTCGCGAGGGGACCGTGGGGAAGGAATATTTATATTTTTTTCAAAAGAACGTTGATTTTAATGTAAATATTTATGTCTGCACAAAAGTGTTACATTATTTTCGCTGATCTGTACATAAATAGTGTGATTGGGCGACTTATTCATGAATATTAGCTCAGACCATAGGGATAAGAAATCTAAAATTTTTACATGCGGAGGATTTCTACTAATTATTTTTTTATAATCTTTCTCCAAAATGGTAACGTTAGATACGTACGTTGAAATGTTTTAAGTAAAATCACTAAGTATTTTAGTCATGCGTATTTTAACGCGTTTAATTTGCTTTTTAAAATCTCAAAATAATTAGCAATAAAAGATATTAGAAACATTTTCTTTATTTAAAATTAAAAAATGAAAACATTAGCGAAACTAAACTCGCCCATTCGATTCTTTAAGGATTCAAAGATCATAAAGTGAAACACAGACGGTTATGTAAATATTAGAAATGTTTTTGTTTTAATTTCTGTTTCATGACGATTTCCTTCCTTCCTACAAGCTCGTGATAAATCAGCGCCTGAAATGAGTCAGGCAGCTTTGTCAGTCATCGCAGTTTGCCAGTCTGTGGGGGAAATGATGATGATCATGATGAATCTTCATACAATTAGCAGACTCTGGTGTTACAGGTGTCCATGGGCGGCGGTGATCACTTACCATCAGATGATGACAACTTAACATCAGGTGATGACCACTTACCATCAGGTGAGCCTCCTGCTCCATTGTCGCTTTTTTTTACCATGAAAAACAAAAAGACTGACACCTATTGGGGTTGTGCGACAACGTACAAAACAACCTGTCGCCTGAATAGACTAGAGAGACAGTTAAGTGATAAAGCTCCGAAGAAGAACATTTATTATTGTGAAGTAACCCAGACTTATTCACAGATCTAGACGGTTGTGGTAGCCCTGCTGATTCGCTACAAAAGTTATAGTCTCTTCTTGAATCATAACTTGGTAGATACCTCACCCAAATCTTAGGTACATTACAATATTTCTAATCGACCATAAGAAGATTACAATAAATATTTAATCTATAATAATAATCCGAATGAAATGGTGCCTTTTTATGGAAAAAGGGTACAACTAAATGAGGCCCATCTGATGGCAAGTAATCACCACCGCCCATGAACATCTGCAACACCGGAGGGCTTGCAAATGCCTGTAAAGCCTCTGATGTTATGTTCATTTATTGCACCTATCACTATTTCTCCTCACGCCCCGCGTTGACTGGTAGAGAATTCCAAAATAATGCTTACTAATATTATAAAGGCGAAAGTTTGTATGTATGGATGGATGATTGTTACTCTTTCACGCAAATACTACTGAATGGATTTTAATGAAACTGTACAACAATATAGCTTATACATCAGAATAAGACATAGGCTATAATTTATATACATATTTTATGTATATCTGTCTTTCTGTCCGAATGTTACGCCTTCAGCCTATTTTAACCTGACGTAGTCGCGGGCAGCAGCTAGTGAATAAATAAATGTAAATAAAGTATAATTACATAAATGTTCATGAGTGACGGTCCTTAACGTTCGATAAACCATTTGTATGAGAGTTTGTAAGGCATCTGAAAGAAATCGTAGATGTCCGTGGGTAACGGTTATCATTTAAAATCTTATAAGCTCCCTTGCCAGTTTTTGACATAGAGAGTACACGCGTTAGAAGTTATACTTGTTATATAAAAATCTTTCCAAAAATTTTATTTTAGCCAGATTCTACTTTTGTAGAAAAAACGACACTAACAATAGAAAAAAGGTATTTAATACATTGAAAGTTTTATTATATATATATATATATATATATATATATCACAAAAAAAATAAGCATCTTGAATACAGTTGTCAGTTCTCACGCAAACATACGTAGATATCTAGTTAGGGTGTCGGTTTTTTGTGACGGTGTTCGCGCGCGTCGTAAAAATTTACTCTCATCATTTTTCCCTAACGCGCCAAAAGTTCGTTTCGCTTTTCATCTATTTCTCAATGGCTTTATTTTTAGCATTTCATAAGTAATGTTTACGTTATTTTATAATATGACACGAAATTAGAATTATCATACGCCGAATTGTGGATTTAGCTTTCAATTATTTCTCTAAAAATAATAAAATACTCATAGACCTGATGACAAGCAGATAGATATTTTTGCAAAATTGTTGTAATAAGCAGCCCCCAGTTCATGTCATTTTGTTTTATAGAACCGGTACTGCTCTCTCTTATCTAATAGTAACAACTTGATATATTGTATCAACGCCATCTATTATATACAAATTTTTCACATTTACTTTGAGATGTGAAAAATTTGTATTTTGATGATTTATTTGGAGCTATTTCTAGACTTTTTCTGTAGATGGCGCTTATTAGCATTAGCTGCTACCCCGAATTTTTACGTTGAGTAACAATACCTCTTTACAATTATAAATTTGTTGTAAACGTCCATGAGCGGAGCTTATCATTTATCATAAGATCAACCGCTAGCTTGCCTGCCACCTTCTCACATAAAAAATACTCTGCCACACTGGGTATCCCTCAACCGCAGCGACGCTTGTGGCACGTCGCATTGAAGGGGTAAACGTCAAGAAATTATAGACTGGCAAGACCTTAATGTAAAACGAGTAAGTATGGGTTACTGGTTATTTTATTTTTAAATCATCATCATTTCAGCCTGTTTAAATCCACTCCTGAACATAGGCCTCCCCCATAAAAGTAAAAAAGTAAAGTAACAGCCTATACATGTCCCACTGCTGGGCAAAGGCCTCCTCTATACAGAGGGTATCAGGGCATAGTCCACCACGCGGCCCCACTGCGTATTGGCGGACTTCACATATCTTCGAAAAAATATTTTTTTTTTTGTTATTATTTCGAAAATATGCAGGTTTCCTCACGATGTTTTCCTTCACCGCGGAGCACGTGATAAGTCAGCACTTAAAGTTAAAACTTCATTGGTGCCGGCACCGGGGATCGAACTCAGGTAGCTCGAGTATATTGAACTAAAGGCGAGCGCCCGGACACTGAGCTATCACGGCTCCCCCATACACTATTGCCTAATTTTAAATATATTTTTTTTAAAGATTTACACTAACAAATATATAAAAGATAACAAAGCCCAACTATATTATTGGTATATTATTGATATATGTTAAGTTCAAAGCGTTTAAAAGATTTCAACGAATTTATTCAATTTCTTGAGGTTGTTGAATGTTGCATTGTCTTATATTCCGAAGTTGTATTAATTTAAAATTTTCTTAGACCAAAAATGGGGAAAGGAAAATTAATTGATAAAAATAATTAAAACTCACTTGCACACATTAATTTTATTAATTAATATTCATTGTTAAAATATGGGAGCTGAGTTTTAAGACACTTCCATATTTTTTTTTTATTTTAATATCAAAAATTGCTGTGGTGGTTGCATTAAAACATGATTACTTTTAAGACTTAGTAGTTTTCAATCATATCCATTTATCATTGTAATATAAAACAATCTAGTAACAAAATTAAAACAAGAACTAAATATAAGTTGGAACAATATAATACTGACTTTGTCTTTGGAATGCTAGAAAACATACATGTATTGTGTGAGTTGTCTACACAACAATAATATTAGGTAAACATGACAAAACGGTAACAAATGTGCCAAAGATTATGTAGAAATGATTTTCTAACAAGTAAAAAGGTATGTTTATTATTTTCCCCTACAGTAGTAAGACTATTCATATTACAGCTCGATTCTTTTCCGTGGAGAGATGTTGAGATCTTTAGGCTCCCAGTCGTCGATGATTCTCTTCTCTATGATGCGTTTGTACACAAGAGCAGACATCCTCGGCCGCCTTGTCTTTTCCTCAGAATCGAAGTCCACCTCGTAGAGGCCAAAGCGCTCGCTGTGGACAAAAATATTTTTTTTTTATTGTTATAGACACCAACAATATTACACAATTTACAAAAAAGGAAAAAATAAAAAAAATTGGACCAAATATGTACACCTATAACAGGTGTGTACAACATTTACGATACTGTGACAAAGTTTAATAAATTAAAAAAAAACTAATTCATAAAAAAAACTTTATAAAAAACATATATGTCACTTGATTGGTCAGTCAACTTGATTGGTGAAGTGATTTACAGTAAGCTTGGTTTGATGTTAGAAAGAGACAGCTAATGTTCTCAATATTCCTGTCATATTATGCTACACTCCGGCTGCTTTACTGTTTTAAATCAAACATGGACATGTTAAACTGGTGGTCCCTTATGAACTTACATATTAATTTTAATACGCGCAAGCAAGCATCTATTTGAATAAAGATATTTTGAATTGGATTGAATAAACAATTTGAAATCTAACATTGATTATATTTTATTTCTTGATGGATGAATAGGCTTCAGCGGAAGGAGTCGTGGGTTCGATTCCCACAGGGGACAACTATATGTGTCCCAGATTCCTCCTTCGTACTTTCAACCCAGGATAATGTTATACCACAGTAGGGACGTTTAAAAAAATGTCGATGTCATGTGAAAATAAAAACAAGAACTAGAAGACAGCAAGCATTATTGCGGCATCTCTTTCCGGCGTTCCTTGTTCCATTGGTTAGGATGAGACGGCTGGCATGATGCATTTCTCCCTCTTTCTCACCTGGTGCCAGCGTTCCACTCCACGTTGTCCATCAAGCTCCAGACGGTGAAGCCGAGCACTTCGGTGCCATCTTCTATCGCCAGCAGCAGAGCCTTGAGGTACTCCCTCAGATTCTTGACCCTGGATCGATCCAGCAGACCGGTTCCCGTGGACCAGCCCTGCTCCGTGAAGAATACGGTCGGGTAGTCGTATCTCTTGTTCAGGTACAGGCACAGCTTGTACAGGCCGTAGGGCGCGCTCTGGTGGGGCAAATTGGAAACGTCACGTTTTTATCTCTTTATTAGTCAAACAAACAGTATACATATTAAAACATTTTGTGATATAACATTACGATATTGCGTTCTTTTTTATTTGAGACGTTAATACGCAATTCAAGATCATCGTTTCAAAGTCATACTACACACACTTAATGATCGTCAAAAACTAACGACGGTTCATTTAATAAAACCTGGTCAAAGAAGAGCAGGCAAACAACTCTTTAATATTTTCAAGTAGCTGTTACGTTAAAGAAGTATAACTTCTTACGTGTACTTCTTTGAATGACCTAACTTTCCTACTTTTTTTAAAATGAATTTATATACAAAATTTAGTTAGGTATAAAATCGGTAGCAGTTTCGAAACCCATCTAATAGTTATATTATGTGTCAATTCACCCTCAGCCAGGGGGACTGTGCGCGTTCCCACTTCTCGCCGAACTGGACGTCGGCCGCCACGTCACCGTCGAATGCAGCACCGTGGAAACGCGCGCTCGGCTTCACAAGGAACGTGGTGTAATGGTTCACGCCCAGGAAGTCCGCTGACCCTGATATAGAGACATTTAACACAAAGTCATTCATTCCGTCACCTCCATCAAGACACTTGAAATATATGTCCATATTACAAAACTTAAACATTGAAATATTAGAAAAAATGTTGAACAAAATATACAAAAGAAAAAAGAAATATCTTAAAAACAGTAATTGTAATAATATTAATAACTAAAAAAAACGCTGTGGGATTCTGGTTTCACGACCAGACAAATAAAATATAACATGTGTTCAAATAATGCAAATATTAATGCCCCGTTTCTGAAACACTGATCATCGTAGAAATTAACTAATCAGTTGTCAAATGTCATTTGAGTTGCCAAAACGATGATTAAACTCATTTTCATTCATTTTGATTATTTGAATTGATCATTCTGATCATTTAGAAGATCATTCTGACTAGTTACTGATTAGTTAATTTATACGATGGCCAATGTTTCAGAAACCGGGCGTTTGTCTTTTTTTTTATTTCCCATATATTATTGTATGTACGCTAGTGGATATAGTTCCAATCACCTTTAAGCAGTTTAATTTCCTCCGGACTCAGTGCTGGCAGCCTGGAACCGAAGAAGCCCTGGGCCTTGCTCCTCTTAGCCACTATCCTCTTCACGTTGGGGGGGAAGTCACCGGCCTTCGACCATATAGGGTGCAGGAACAGATCGATCTGGAGTTAAAAAGTCATTCGTAGAGCAAACAAATTATATAATAGTTAAAAAATACATGTGTTTATGTACGCACGTAAGAAGTTATACTCTCTTAGCAATTGAGCGGTTTAATTAAAGTACCTGGAGGACCGAGCCTTGCTCGGTTTTTTATGGTAAATCGTGTATTTTGGAAATAAAAAAAATAAAAAATAAAGAAAATGATCTGGTACAGAAAAAAAAGTTAAAAAAATAAGTGTGTAAATGAGCGTGATACGAACCGCGACCGTCTTGTTCTGGGGCCGCCCGATTACTGACCGACCTATTATAACATTTCTTTTTGCGGCGAAATTTACATTTCATTCCTAGAAAACAGGATAAAAGGACATTTTCTAAAACTGAAACCTAGCTAGATTGATTTTTCACCCCCGAATCTACGCATATACTAAATTCCATGAAAATCGCTGGAGCCGTTTCCGACTTTTACGCATTGTAAACATTTTACCCACAAAATTTTTTACAATACGCCAAAAATGTTAAATATATTAGCAGAGAAAAATATAATTTAACCCAACTTTTTCCATGTCTTAATTTTGTAATATAATTACACTAAAACCTGCACTAAAATTACAAACAGCTGAAAGAACAATGCCCACTTCCCATACATTTAAAAACCTGATAATGAAAGTGTATGTATAGTTACAAGGTATAGTAGAAAGACTACCTTTAACTTAATAAATTAATATCATATAGTCATTTTTATGATTGCTGGTCTACGAAGTCCAAAAATTATTAAAAAATGTTACTTTTTAGGTTAGAATTTGCAGTCACCTAATATAACGAAATAAATGTGCTAAAACTAACTATTTACGCTCAAGTTTATTCTTAAAATAATAATATTAGCCTGTCTAAGGTCTAAAACGTCTTTTTTACTTGTGAATTCCTAGAAACCGACTGCCCTTACGTCACTGCTTAGACTCGATTATTGTCACTATAAATTGAGTGAAGAGCATTATCTGCTGTTTCACAGCTCACATAATTACTTACTAAAAAAACGTAAGTTAAAAGTGATCATTTATCTGCCCTACACATTTCATTGGCCTGCACTACAATACATAATAATAGATAATTATAATACCTGATGAATAAAACAGGGGAAAAAATAAAACACTATGTTACAGTGGAATTAATTATCAACATCTTCACTTAAATGTCTTATAACTATGTTATCCAGAAATTCTGCTATAACAGAGATATTTTCTTGATAGTTCATCCGAAGTACCACACTAGTCATAACATGAGTGCAACATCCTATGGTTCGCCAACCAACTAAACAATTACAACAATATTCGACTATACTAGCTCTGCCAGACACATTATTTTCTATTAAAATGTAGACATAATATTGTTTTCTTTAAATGTGCCAGGACTTAATTTTTCCTCTTATTAGTGTTATATCCCCACTTCCTCTCAGATTATTCCTAGAAACTCCTGTGTCCCTACATATTTCTATTCTATATGATCCATGAAAGCAAATATGTTCGCCATAATAGGATTTGGCTTGCCTTATTTGGTACCTAAAGCAAATAGTATAAATTCGCTAATAACTTAATCTCAGAAACATAAAAAATAAATTATCTTCAGTAGTAAAAACACCACAAACTTCAGAAACATGCCTAATATGTCTGGCAGCACTCTTACAACTCATCCAGCATGAATGGCATATTCTATTAGATGATGATATCTACAAAAGAAAACTATCTACAAAAGAAGCAATAATTATTATTCATCTTAAAAATATATTTTTTTAAAAATCAATTATGTATTTATTTGTGGTTAAAATTATTACAGCATCAGTCAATTAATAACAGATAAAATAATTAACATCTAAAATACAAAAGAGAAATAATCTAGAGTAATAGTGTCAAGTTTTATACTGGCAAATGATTAACAATGTAGAAACATGAATATGTGATGTTGTGAACTTGTTTGTATAATAGCATTTATCTGTCTTTGCTTTTCTGAAAGATTATCAAAAACTGTGTTCTTCGACATGGTTGAGATAATCCTGAAGCTTGAGCAACATCACAGCTTGTTAATTCCTGGTTTATTCTTCTCATAAAGAGTTCATTACAAGATTTACAAATGTAATCTTCCTCAGTAATCTGAAATAAAAAAACATAATTATATTGAGTTTATATTACATATTTTGGATATATAGATCTTTTGAACAGTTGTTTGTGTTATGTCACAGGTATAATTTATAGGAGCTTTGTTAGTTTGATTAGGACATGATTGACATTTTTAGATTAAAAATAATAAACATAAATACTCACAATTAGGTACTGGCGAATACCGATGAGTATGAGTCTTCTTCTTCTTATCTTTTTGGGCGGTTTTCAATGAATACGCCAATGAGTATGAGTCTATGAGTCACTCGTAGAACTATCAAATGTCAAAAAAATCCATTTACGTCAGCCGTCCGAACTTTATTACATGCTGCATTAATAATTTATTATTTTATTTTGAATAAATCTGTACTACTAATAAGATTGATCTTAATTTTTATACAAATACTGTTAATTACGTGCTTACTCACTTCTCTAAAACGTAAAATCAAGTACAAAACTCAGAAAAAGTTGAATACAGTCAAGTAGGTAGTGTGAAAAATGGAACGTCCTATGCAAAGGATTGTTAAGGTGCGTTCAAAACATGGTAATATGTTTACCCTTGAAGTAAAATAAGCGTAAAGAAATATCAAAAAATATTTTTTTCCCGACCTTCTTTTAACATTGTGTTTAGTGTAATTACTATAAAATGAAATTAGCTAAATTTTAAAATTTATTTCACTTCTATACACAATCAGGTCAAAAATGGGCATTGTTCTTTGTTTGTTTATTAGAAATGGTAAATCTAGAAATGCAATATTTTATTAAAACTTTGTAATATTAATTTTGAATTAATTATTGGATGCACTTTCCAGAAATATGGTTATACGAAGAATGGTCAGCTTGAATATTTAAATTGTAGTTTGATCCTAGAGTAAATATTAACTGTATTGAATGTATTGAAATCTGTTCTCGATTTAATTGGAGACATAATCCCAAGGCATGGGGAAACAACCATCTTCTCTATAGAAATTTTGGTGTTTTTTCATTTTAATTACCTTACAAATGACTGCAGGTCCGTCGGGAGAAGTACGACGACCTCACAGAAGACCAGCTTAAAGTAAAAGTGTTACAACTTCTGCGTTTCATCTGGTGAGTGAGGTATCCGGTTCCCATTTTAATTAAAGGTGGCAACGCGTTTGCATCCCTACGGGAGTTGCAGATGTCCATTGGCGGCGGTTATCACCTAACATCAGGTGAACCGCCGGCTTTTATGCCACTTTCGCTCATAAAAAAAAAATACTGAACAGGCGTTGGTCTATTGTGAGAATTGGTTGTATGGAACGGACAAAATGCAAAAGCGTAGACACTCAATACGTCAGTCCTCTGTGACGGTGGCAGTACTTCCTGGGCCAGACTGGCCAATCCTGCAACAGCAAATGGTGCTGCCACAACCACTCAAAGTTCCAGCTGACCACCGTGGCAAATATGAACCACTCACGTGGAACTCGCGGAACCTCTCCGTCGCCTCCAAAGCCTCGGTGCTGTTGTCGGCGGGATCAGCCCAGTTCAGGGATAGCGATATACCCACGGAACCTGAAATTTTCGGACCATTAGCGAAAGTGACTTACTTCCCCGAACCTGCCCATTCGTGCAACAGCTGCAGCGTGGGCCTATCACAGAGCTAACCTTTAATTGTGTAGGAGTATAAGTTGTGATGACCGTGGCTTTGACGACCCGAATGTCGCAGTGGGCAGTGTACCTGTCTCCTGCGCTTGAGGCTGTAGGTTCCCTACTACTGGAAAAGTATTGTGTGATGAAAATAGTGTTTTTCTTGTGTCTGGGTGTTTACATAAAGTGTTTATTTGCAAAAGAAAACTATGTTTAAGTATTTGTATCAGTTATCTAGTACCGTACAAGCGTAGTACAAGCGTTGCTTATTTTGGGACTAGAGGATGTTGTGTAAAAATATGTCCAAAAATAATAATTATTATTTAGCACCGGGGTTCGTGGTGTCGTTTCCCAAACGGGACAACTATTTGTGTGACCCAAAGATAATTCTTTCGGATCTGGGTGTATGTCCACGGGAAATTTGTGTTTGTACAACACACGATAATGTTATCCTATTTCTTTTTATAAATTAAAAACAAGTTATTTTTTTTTTTTTTCTAAAAACACGGTGTTGTGCCAGTTATAATATCTCTCGCTCTGTATTCATTTTATAATTGATCCATACATATCTCCCGAGTCCATGATCCAATACAAAAGAAATTAATATCGCATCACATTGGAAGCACCAGCTTTCAAATAAAAAAAAGAATCACCAAAATCTGTTCACTCAGTCGAAAGTTTTGAGGTAATAAACATTAAGAAAAAAAAAATACAGTCGAACTGAGAGCCTCCCCCTTTTTCGAAGTCGGTTGCAAATAGGCAGTGCTCCTATTTTCCTACCTCGATGCTTATCCCGGAACTCGCGCTCGTACATCCTGTAGGTGTAAGCGTGAGCCAACAGGACGTTCTTCGCGCAGAGGTACTCCGCCCCCGCTGAATCCAGAGCTGGGGGCATCAGGGCTGCGCCGTAGCCGTGCATGCAGATGGAGTGGGGCTGGTCGAGGGTGACCCAGTACCTCACCCGGCCACCGTACCGCTCGAAGACGACCCTCGCGTAGTCCTGGAACCAGGTCGCGGAGAGCGGGTTCGCCCAGCCGCCGAGCCGTTGCAGATTTTGCGGAAGGTCGTAGTGGTATAGGGTGACCATTGGGGCTATCTTGTGCTTCAAGAGCTCGTCGATCAAGCGGTCGTAGTATAGGAGGCCCTGCTCGCTCTTATTGTTGGGGAGCCCTGCGGGAGAGCAAAGTGAAAAAGAGTAAATTAGCATACAGCCTATACATATCCCGCTGCTGGGCAAAGGTCTCCTCTGTACAGAAGGTATTAGGGCACAGTCCACCACGCGACCCCATTACGGATTGGCGGACTTAACATATCTTCGAAATATACATTATTTTAATATTTCGAAAGTATGCAGGTTTTCTCACGATGTTTTCCTTCACCGCTGAGCATGTGTCTTCTTAAAATTAAAAATTTAATTGGCGCACTAGGAATTGAACTCAGAAATTCAAAGCTTGAGTATATTGAATTAAAAGCGAGACACTAAGCTATAAGGGCATTATGGGGGAAAACTCTAGCACAGAAATAACATTTCTTTATTGACAGAGCGTCGTCGGAAGTGTCACGACCTCACAGAAGACTGGCGTCAAGTTTGAGTAAGGCCCATTTACACGGTGCAAGTTTCTTGCCTGTTATATACAATTAAATTGAAGCAATAAATGAGTTGCACTGTCTAAACAACACATAACATTCTTGACTGTTGAACAAGACTTGCTTCAAGTTTTGTTTCAAAACTTTCCTTGGTGTAAACAGCACACACAATAATTTCTTAAGCAATTCTTGTATTCAATTGCATTCTCTTTTCCTTTGTGAAAAATTTAAAAAAATAGTGCAATGAGTGAGGGTATTTAATCGTTGCTGTTCTTTTGAGGATAGAAATATTGAGAAAAGGTCGTAAAAAAAGGTGGATAAAAATATGAATAATAATATATGGATCATAATAAATAAATCTCAATGAAATATATTTAATCGGCATAATCTAACTTGAACACTTATTATTGAGCCATTTTTAAAAAAAAAATAGCCCTTTGTAAAACGTTCAACACTTGCATGAAAAATTTGTCAACGCAAATACGTGCAATACTTGAAGCAACACGCCAATAAATTGTACACGCACATACAAGCATGTGTTTAGACAAGTCAAAACTTGAAAGCAATAATCGCCTAAATATAATTGCATTGGTGTAAACAAAAGACATTTGCAATTATTTCTTGTCAAGACTTGCATACAATAATCGCATTCAATTTTTTTTACTATATCTGCGTGTAAACTGTTGCTTACAATTCTTGATGGTCAATTATTGCGCGCAATTTATTGCATTCAATTATTGCTCTAGTGTGTACAAGAAAATGGCATCGTGTAAATGGGCCTTTATGCATTTTGTCTGGCGAGTTAGGTAGTTGGCGTTAATAACATAACATTTAGTGAACTGGCAGCTTTCAAGCCACCTTCTCATGTTAAATAATCGACGACGCTTATGACTGAATTATTTGCATAACATAGCACTGTCATTTCATTAACATTTAAATGATAAAGGTATAATTAAATTGAAGCTGAAGGGGCAATATTAGACAAGTGTATGGCGCTCTATTCAGTGAAACAAGCATGAAACGACAAGTTTATATAACTCAGCCATACTAAATAATATTAACATGGTATAATAAAAACAAAAACAATTCATTTCAAGCAATATATCCAAAATTAAGTCACTTATTCAAAAAAACTAATTTCTAATCCATATTTTCAAACTAGAGAGCTTGATAAAAATACCCCTCTTTCGGGGGCAATGGTGTAAAAAAGCAACTTACCTGAAGGTAAAATTCTAGACCATGATATAGAGAACCTGTAATGGTCTACACCAAGCTCTCGCAGCATTTCCACATCCCGTTTGTAATTATGGTACGAATCGCAGGCAACATCACCATTCCTTCCATCTTTTATTGCCTCAGGATGGTCACGGACATACTTGTCCCATATACTTTCCCCTTTTCCTGATAAATATATTCATAAACTGACCCATGCATGGATTTTTTTGAATATACTAATTAATCATAATTTGTTATACATAATCACATAGTAGAATACACTTATTGGCTTTGCTATTTGTAAAAACAAGGCTTTTGCTCAGTTATGGGATCTACTTACAATAAATGTGTTAGAAAGTATAAAAGTGGCTGTAAAAATTAATAAGATAACATTGTCAATTCCTTCTACCGTCAACATTCCATGCCCCTTCTATTTGATATGCAGATGTGGACACACCAAATTTAAAGTCACTTCGGAACTTTCTCTGCTTATTGTCAGACCATGCATCTGACTGCAGGGTACTGAAAAATTTAATTAAATGCCATTTAGGAAACTGTTACCACATTTTAAATTAAACTTAATTAGTTATTACATAAGGAAGACAAATTAAGAACATCTTTTAATTCTATAAATATAATATAAGTAAGCAAACTATTGATAACTACTCTGCACCTGTTAATACATGTGATTAATAATTGATTGAAACAAAACTTTGAAAAACATATTGAATAGTTTCTAAATTAACTTCTAGAAGTATAAAATGATAATTTAAGTGTAATATATATATATAAATTTACTTACCAGAAACAAATTATATACCAAAAGCACCTCATGATATCATTTCGGTGTTCGATTAAATATCGCATATTAAAAAATCGCACTATCACGTTTCACACTTCGTTAATTATGAGTACTTGAATTTTAAACATGTAAAAACTTAATATAGAATTGACAACACATTAACTCAAATCGTATTTTATCATTACGTCCGTCGGTTTTGCAGTATGTCTTCTCGGTATTATTAAGTCCAATTGAAATCAAATCCATAATCTCTATACCTTTAAGATAATTAGTGATTATAAATGATAGTTATTCTTCCAAATGAATAATATTCTATTCTGATTAGATTAGGAGATAAAAAGTATAAGTTAAGTACTTAAATTGTATGTATTTCGTATTTAGTTGCTAATGCTATTTATGTTTAATTACTTCGTTCCATTTTCTTTAATAAATTTATGGCAAGTAACAAGACCTAGTTTTAAACCAAACTTCGCCAAGTTCCAAGTTACCAGTACCACTACATTCAAGATCACGGATAATCACGGTCTTTTCAGTTCATATTCATACATTTGATATTCGTTAGGAGTTTGCTCATTCCGTTTAGTTCCATCTGTCAAAAACAGATGGCATTGTTATAAATGCAAAACCATTTTAACTATAGTACCATTAAATTTAAAATAAAATTTTATTTTAAGTTAAAATAAATTTATAAAAAAAAATTATCTAGGGTTCTTATTTTGGAGAAAAATTGCATTTTATTAAACAAAAATTATTAATTTGAAAGAAAACAACTTAGCAAAATGCTGTAAGTAATTTTAAACAGTGTAACTGAACGTTACCGACGTAACTGCGGAACGGATGCCAGCCTAAGAGTTTTCTTCCTAAATTTAGGAAGAAAAATTTACAATAGAAATTTTTAGGAGCAGAAGTTTTAGGGAATCTTTTTAGGAATAAAATTTTACTCACATTTTTTAAAAAAAAATACACAACTTTAATCACAAAATATAATTTTATATTATTGGCAGCATTGGCCTATGTAGTAATAAAAATATCGTCATAATATATAATAATAAATTCCTATAATAATAATATATTAAATTCATTTAATAAGTAATATAAAATGCCAAATGGTGAGAAAATTGCCATCGGATATGTTCAAAAATTTGCAACTAAGTGGGAAAAAGACAATGAATTTAAAGGTAGGTAGGTTTCATTCAGATCTTTTGTAAATGAATGATACTTAGTCCCATTATTTATTGTCTGATTCTTAAAAATAATGAAAATCATTATAACGTCACAAAATTGTATTTAATTCGTCAAGGCAATGAACAATATTCAGGGTAAAGTATATTAAGTAAATTTTTAAATAAAACAGTTTTGATTACCCAGATAATTAAATTTTCCGATTTTAGCTTGCTAGATAATTTATAGGTGACTTTTGTCATTTGGGAGGTTTTTTTTTTTAAAACAGTGGATTTTAGGTTTTTGAATATCTTTAGGAGTTTTTATTTTCAACAGCTGGTAACACTGAACTGCGGCCGGTTATTATTCATTTATTTTATTCGGTTATCTTTCATTATTCATCATTTCATTTTGTTATACGTTACGGCAAAACATTAATATTGTATTTACAGGTAAAGACTGCAACGCAAATTTGCATTCTTTTCCTTACCTGAAAATGATAGTGACGGATTTAAAACATGGATTCAATCGATTGTAGGAAATTTACTGATTTTGGATAGCCAAAAATAATTTAACGTAAATAATTTACTAAACGGCACCAGACTCGAAATCATTCATAACAAAGATTATAAAAAAATTACGAGTGAATATTATAAAAAACAAAATAAAGTTCACAAAACATTATCCTGTATTTTATTTACTTTATCCAAAAATAACATCTAGCAAGCTTGTATCCAATTACAGTTTTCTATACAATGTTATCAAATATAAATTAAATAAATTTCATAATTATACACTATATTTGAATATGTGAATTTGTGTTGGTAAAAACTATCTCCAAACATATCTTTTCGATTTTCTCTGATAGACTGCTAGACCTCAAGATATCATAAATTTCTTTTGCTTAGATCGGAATAAGATTAATTTTAAAATACAACTATGTAATTTTGGAACGTAATAATTACAGTAATGATATTTTATACTACAGAAATGTTGTTAAGAACCATTTCAAGCCATTGAACGCTTGAGTTTAGTTAAAAGACGGCAACATTTTGTATGTGTGCACGGAGTTATAAGTGCAGCTTATAAGAGACTAGCTGGCTCGCACAACCAAAGAGAATGTAATCACTACGTTTACGTTTACGTTTGCGCACAACTTCGTCTGCGCCAATTCTACCGGGTCGTTTCTACTTTTCTACTTTTAGCATAGCGCCATCTATCGGATACTTACTCTATCCAGCCGATAAATTATTATTATTATTATCTTACACCGCCATCTGTTAGAATCTTATGGGATTCACAGATAGCTCTTTGTCATCTAGTAAACAAATGATTTGCAATAACAAATTGAGATCAATAATTGAGATATAAACTACCCATCGACCAAGTTGAACCAAATTACAAATGCTTACAAAATTTGATAAAAATTGGTTCAGTAGTTTCGGAGTTTATCGCGAACATACATCATAACACGAAATTTTTATATACATAATATATAGATAGATTTATGGAAGTACTGATTTCATTTATGCAGTAGAATTAAGATTTGTAGATATAATCAATTGATTCTTATCAAAATACGTCCTTACGTACGAGGAAGCACCGTATTTTTAAACAAGTCAATTATTAAAAAAAATCTGGCTACAATATTCTTACAGCTTCTTTATGAGAAACTAGCTGCTGCCCGCGACTACGTCTGCGTAGAATAGGCTGAAGGTGTAACATTCAGACAGAAAGACAGATATACATAAAATTTATATAAATTAAAGCCTATGTCTTATTCTGATGTATAAGCTATATTATTGTAAAGTTTCATTAAAATTGATTTAGTACTATTTGCGTGAAAGAGTAACAAACATCCATCCATACATACAAACTTTCGCGCTAATAATATTATAGTAAGATAAGATAATAATAATATTTATAGTAAGGATAAATGACATTGAACTAAATGACGATTATTATAATACGTGTATTTATACATATTTGTAAACCCAAAACTGATTATACGTACTAGCATTGGCATTTTTAGGTTAAACAAGTTCAAAAAGTACGGACAGAAAAAAACGTTTTAAATTAAATTTGTGCAGTATAGATTAGAATCTTTAAAACTGGATAGATACATTTTATTGATTAATCCAATATTATAAGAGATATCGTAAGCGGTAAGTTTTACAATAAAATTTATGGAGAAGAAATGATGCTCTCTACAATAATGTTTTGTATGCCTTTGGTCTTTATAACTTTAAATTAGTTTTTTGTATGACTTTTAGGTTGGATCGTTCATTGTTGGCCTTTAGATTTAATTATTCCAAATTCCAAACTGCAACGAATTCGGTTAAGGCTATCATGACATACGGACAAGCGAAAACATCTGTAACTACATGGTGTGGTACAGACTTCACGATGATGTTCGTGGTCAATTTGCATCAGTATAGCCCTCTCCGTATACGGGTTCCTCTACCTGACAGCTTCTCAAACAGGATCAGTGACGCAGGCGTCTCCATTTACAACCACTACATTAGCCAAGTGCTAAAAGTTTTCTTTATGTGAGAAGGTGGTAAGCGAGCGGGCGGTTCACCTAATGTAATGATAATCGCCGCCCATGGACATTAGTAACACCCGTAGAGTTGCAGATGCGTTGCCACCTCCTAATAAAGTGGGCTCCGGCTACCTCACTCACCAGACGAAACGCGGAAGTATGACACTTCCACTTGACGCCGGTCTTCTGTGAGGTCGTGGTACTTACCCGGACGGACCTGCCCATTCATGCAACCGAAGCTCTTGCATGGCCACTGTACAGTTGTAAAATTGTACTCACCAAAATCCCCTATATGATTACAAAACTGTGCCTTAGCAGAGGTTGCAGGCTCTCCTATGCGCAGATTCAACATTTGCGTCAGTTTTAGTACCAAGTACGCCGTGCTACCCGTTCTGCCTCAGGGATGCGGGGAATAATTTAGCATAATACTGTAGTGACAGCTAAGTACAAAGATAAAGCCACCACTAATCGTGCCTATAGGAATTGCATTTTTAAGACGAAAACTGTTGTGTAGCCCTATCACAGTTGTCTAGTGGGGCAATTGGGGCAACAGCATACAATTTTTTTTGCCGTTTTATCGATAATGTTTCGGAACCCTTCGTACGCGGGTCCGACGTTCCTTTAAACATAAAAGAATGATAAACAGATTTTCATATAAAATGTTATATCTGCGTAATTATGAGAAATTATTGCGAGATGTATATGTGTAGTACAAAACATTAATATTCGGGGTTCGAAGGATTTGGAGAGAAAGACCTGCTGACTCTTTTGAAGACTTTATTCAATAGCACTAGGTCCAACACAAAGCACTAGGTCCAAACACTAAGCACTAACGATGTCCTGTTTTGTAGCCAAGTCGTAGGTTTCACTGGTATCGCTCTTGATCACTAATTTTCGCTCCGAAGTCGCCTCGAAGGTAGCTCAAACTGAACTGTGATCGCTCGCGTCCCTGCGGCTTTTTATATGGGCCGAGACCGGTTCCGGACTAATCCAGAAAGATCATTCCTGGAACGTACCCGACACGCACGAACATGTTTGTGATTCCGGAAAGTTCGCGAATGTTCCCGGTTTTCGAGACTATAGTTCCACAGCAGTTCCTCTAACGCCATCTAGTGTTGAATAGGGGGTTTTATGTCGTCTTTGTTCTTTAGTGGTTTTAATAGTTGACGCTAGATGGCGTTAGTTCCTTTGTGTGTTCATAACACTATCATTAGGAAAGAATAGGTATTAGATATATATATAGAATAGGTATTCCTAATGATATTAGGAAAGAATGCCTATTCTTAAAGCCTACCTATTCTTAATAAGGTATTCTTTCCCAATGATTTTAATGTTTTGAAATGTCCGAAAAACCTATTAAAATTCTGCATCTGACTTTCCCATCAGCGCCATCGCTGCCATCTTGATGGTTCGCAGTCTCATAGCGCGATTCTAGAATTATTTGCGTACTTAGTTTTCAACGGTATTTCCGTACCAATACTAGGCGCCCTCGAGAAGAGAACCTATTTTTTTTATAAAAAGACGACTACGAACCATCAACATGCCTAATGTCGCGAATGTTCTTGTTTGCCACTTTACAGATACGTTTTGCTCACGGCCTCTCAGTAATCTCTACATATCTTCGAAATCTCGATCTTTTATCAAGTGCTTAACAAATCGATTTGTCGATATGTGTACGGAAATGCTTACATAATAAGGTAACGTTTACACACACATTTAACTTTACGAAGACAGTTAGCAAGTTCATACATAAATATCATTACATTATTCACATGACTGCACGGACGGTGATATGATTGAAGTGGTCACCAACAACTGCCAGTGAGCGCTGTGTCGATGATGAATTTAATTGATTTAAATGATTCTGAAACAATAATCATCGTAGAAGTCAACTAATCAGCTGTCAAATAGCTATTCAAATGTTATTTGAGTAGCCAAAAGGATTGCTAAACACTCAATTGATAAGAATCATCTTCTTAATGATCAAAATGATCAATTCAAAGAGTGCGAAACCGGGGCGGGTCGCTAGTTAATTTTATAATAACCTCATATTCGCGCTCGGTACACGGTGACTGGGTCATCGCCTCACGTAGTTTTTAACGAAGTTAATATTTAATGAAACAATGAAATACAAATTCGGGATACACTTAACTCTTATCTATCCCTACCTGTAAATATTTTTTTGTATGTTGACATTTTCTCCTAATTAAAATATCAAGATTGCATTTATCTAAAATGAGTGTTATACTCACCAGATACTGTCTTCATCGATGAGATAAAGACTCGTGTATCTAATCCTAGATAGTAATACCATAGAGGTATATAAACGGATACAACAAACACTAGTGTAAGATGTTCAGATCCGATTTAAAATAATATGAAGCTGCTTGTTTTAGTTGGGTAAGTGTCCATCGTATAATAAAGACTGGATAATTTCTTAATTAGTTTTTATTCCAAACTAGCTGCCGGACAGACCTCGTTCTTTTTTTATAGTCATAATAAAACCTTCCGAGGACCTAAGGAACTATAAAAAAACAAATTAGCCGAATTGGTCCAGACATTTTTGAGTTATGCGCCTACCAACATTCATTTTTATTTATTAAGATTTTAAATACAATAGAAAGGTGATGGCTCAACGTTTCCAATCATATTCGATGTTTCCGTTAAACAGTCACCAGAACAGGAAGACAGATATACATAAAATTTGTATATAAATTAAAGCCTATGTCTTATTCTGATGTATAAGCTATATTATTGTAAAGTTTCATTAAAATTGATTTAGTAGTATTTGCGCGAAAGAGTAACAAACATCCATTCATACATACAAACTTTCGCGCTAATAATAATAATGGCTCAACGTTTCCAATCACATTCGATGTTTCCGTTAAACAGTCACCGATTCAAATTCTGGTAGTACTGTGTTTTGACTGTTTTAATAATGGCATTATAATTATATATAAATTAAATTGTTCTATTCATTAATTCACAACAGTTTCTTGTATTTACGCGATCACACATTACCTGATGAACCGATTAGATGATTCTCTTTTTATTTATTTAAATGCTGGTGCTTCCCATGTGGTTCAATGTTTTTTTTTTTTTTTTTTTTTTTTTAAATAAAACATTGCCCTCACTTTAGTATAACACCGTCCTGTGTTGTAAGGACGTTTTACAAACATAAATTACACGAGGACAAACACCCAGAACACAATATAAATTTCATTGGTAATGGATCTTGAGCTCCGGAGATACTTAGGGAACTCCTGAAAACCGATTATAAAATGAATACAGAGCGAGATAATATTTGGAGTCGGTTTTGTTTTTCGTTAGTAAAAATATGAATTAGAGCCGTTTAAATATTATCCGTTTAAAACATAAAATACAATAAATTGTTTCAGTCTGTTGACCGTAGGGTGTCATGGGCTTACCACAAAGCGGCAAAGGAGGTTTCCTGGCGATTTTATGTTCGGCGCAGCCACCGCCTCTTACCAAATAGAAGGTGGTTGGAATGCAGACGGTAAGTCCTTATTTTCCTATTTATTAATCGCTTGACTGGTAGAGAACTCCTAATTGTGTTAAGTCCGACATTGTACGCTTTTGTGCAAAAAGTTTTTAAACAAATAAATAAGTTCACAATATATCTAATATGTATCATAATTCAAGATTTGTCAATGATAAATTACTGAAAGAAAAATATTAATTGTGCCTTTTAAAGTGCGTAACTTTGAACAAAATTAAGGTTATATTATAGTATACTCGTTTACAAGACCGTTTTAAGTGAATCTAACGAAATATGTAACGATAGATAGATAGATAGAAGTGAGTGGAAGATATTATATATTACAATTATTGTGAATTTAATACAATTTTAAGGAAGAAAATCTACTCGCTTTCGCTTCAAACCATTAGTATCTACATTTCAAACGTGCGAAGCTGGGTAGGAAGAGTCGCTAGTTATGTATAACAATAACAGTCCAAGATCAAATACAAAAGACTTTGCTCCTCGATATCGCACGCATAGTCCGTTAGTTTCATTTCTTTTTGACCTTGACCTCGACCTCTACCGTCTGGAAAGGGGGAGACGCTTTTAATATATATTTAATATAATAATTTTTTGGTATTCTTTCAGCATAATTATTTGTATCTAATGTTATAAGTATTTAATGTATTTATGTGTATGTATATTTTATTTAAAATTCGAGGACAAAACTTAGTGTCTCATAAAAATAATGTTGGCCTTGAGTAACTGCTTATGCGACAGTTTCTCAATTGCTACAACTTAACAGACAAGAGCGAGAACATCTGGGACCACATGACCCACACCAACCCCACCGTGATCAAGGACCAGAGCAATGGCGACATCGCTGCCGACACCTACCACAACTACAAGCGCGATGTCGAGATGATGCGCGAGCTCGGCCTGGACGCGTACCGTTTCTCCCTCTCCTGGTCCAGGATCCTGCCTGACGGCTTCTCCAATAAGATCAGCGAAGCGGGCGTCACTTTTTACAACAACTACATTGATGAAATGCTGAAGTACGGTATCACGCCAATGATAACCCTCTACCACTGGGATCTGCCAAAGAAACTCCAAGACTTGGGCGGCTTCCTCAACCCCCTACTCCCGGAGTGGTTCGAGGATTACGCTAGGGTAGCCTACGAGCAGTTCGGCGATAGAGTGAAGCATTGGATCACCTTCAACGAGCCGAAAGAGGTCTGTTACCAGGGCTACGATTCCGATACAAAAGCGCCGATTCTGAACGCAACCGGCATTGGAGCTTATCTCTGTGCTAAGCATTTGGTGTTGGCCCACGCTAGAGCGTACAACGCATACAAAAACGACTACGCCGGGGAAGATGGTGTGTGCGGGATCACGTATGCCGTTACGTGGATGGCGCCGCAGACAGATTCCCAGGAAGATGAGTTCGCAGCCGATCTGAAGAAACAGGCCGATGTAAGTGCTTCAACTTTTCAAATCCTGCAATTTAATTTTCAGTTTTTACTGAGCTAGGTTAACGCAGCAGCAGAACAGCAGCTTAGAGAAGTGAAACTCTTAATAATTTTGCGTTTTGTTGCTGTTAAATTGGTTAACCATGGTCATCCTTTGCATGCCTTAACATGTAATTGATATTTATTTACTGTAAGGTGAAATAAAGAGCTTTATCATCACCTGTGCGTAGTCACTGTTGTTACTGTTATTTAGTAAGATTCAACGATATATTTGAGATTTTTTTAATTAAAGAAATGTTAAAAAGATGAATCAGTTTGTGTTATGTAGGTTTTATACACATCGTTAGGTTTAGTACCTAACTAGGTAGGTTTAGGACATTCTTGTCCACGTGGAGATCCTATAATGACGGCCCAGTAGTAAGTTCAGTAGAAATCGGTTGTCACTACTTATCATGCCTGCATCAATTCTACTTTTCTAGTAATCGCGTTCAAAAGTGTGCTGGTATTGATGAAAGGTGATATTTTATTGCAGTGGGGCCTTTACTCCGAGCCAATTTTCTCCGAGGAGGGCGGTTTCCCGAAGGACCTTAAGAAGCTGGTCGATCAGAAGAGCGCTGAACAAGGCTACTCCAGGTCTCGAATGCCGGAGTTCACCGACGAGGAGAGGGACTTCGTCAAGGGCTCTGCAGACTTCTTCGGGATAAATCATTACACAGCCAAGTTAATTTCCGCGACGGAAAATCTGGAGGAACACCCAGTGCCGTCTGTGTACGGCGATATCAATGTGGGAACGACTGTTGCGGAGGACTGGCCTGCAGCCGCGTCATCTTGGCTGAAGGTCTGATGATGAGCCAGTACTTCTTCTTTGTATATCGTAAACATTACTGATGCAATATTTGCCCATATCGGTTACATTACTGATGCAATATTCATATTTTCATTATTCTCTTGAGACCATGAGTATAGACAGTTTGCGTAGAGACTTGGGGTAAACATTTAGCATTATAATTTATGTTTAACTGTTGTAGGGTCAGACATCCGGGTAAGTACCACGACGTTACGGAAGACCGGCGTTAAGTGGAAGTGTTCCTTCTGCGTTTCGTCTGGTGAGTGGGGAAACCGGGATTCACTTCATAAAAAGGTGGCAACGCAACTGTAACTCTATGGGTGTTGCAAATGTCAATGGGCGGCGGGTGAACCGCAGGCTCTCTTGCCACCACACATTATTTTTAACTATTTGGGTGGTGAAGTATGAGGAAGCGGAGGAGGGGTAACGCCTTTCAGATATATAAAAGTACTCTTTGCTATCTGTTCAACGTGTGGAGTTGGAAGAGAACCGAAACAACGCCGCGATGGCGCGGTGTTTCGGCCATCGCGTTCGAATTAATTTTAATGAATTAAATTAATATTTACAAATATCTTACTTCAATCAACAAATTAAGACAACAGCCCTTTTTATTAATATATTCTACACTACTGATTATTTCATTAAGATTTGTTCATTTATTATATCTATTTTTTTTTAATTTGAATTTCACGTTTACACGTAGGTTCGTGATTTTTTTCTATCGAGAAAATGTTTTGAAAACATTGGTCCATTAGAATGTAAGATCAAGATTAACATATATTTTTTTTGCTTCTTTAAAATGTATAGATTATGTTAAAATTTTTTTGAAAAACCTATTTTTACTCTGTATACAGTGCCTTAAAAAAATCACTAAAGGCCATAAAATGAGTTAAATTACCATCTACCAGTTTTCAAGCATGATGATGATGAATTACTATCTAAAAGTTAAGACTGCATTTGAACGTCCGTTAATTTTAACAATCAAAATAAAAACAGCTAAATTTCAGGGGTGGAAACAAACAAAAAATGTAGCGATAATTTTTTTTATGTTCACCAATAATTGTTCCTATTATTGTTATTTGTTGTATTATTTTCAGCAAGCACCCGACAGCCTCCTAAGCGTCCTATTGGACATTAAGGACAAGTACAATAACCCAATGGTCTACATAACGGAAAACGGATGGTCCACCACTCCAGACGCTGGGCTTATAGACGACGACAGGGTCCAATACTACAGGGCGGCGTTAGAGAACGTTCTGGATGCCTTGGAGGCTGGCGTGAACCTCAAGGGCTACATGGCGTGGAGTCTCATGGACAACTTCGAATGGATGGAGGGATACACGTAAGTACTAAAGACGTTTTAAGATCAGAGACAAGATATTTTTTTTTTTAGCTTACTGGTTACACTAAACCTCTAAAAATCTCACTAAATCTCTATTGCTTTCATTAAAATTTTGATTTTGTCGATATAAAGCATTGCTTTAAATGACAAAATTGCTAGGCATAGCTACATTTGATATTGGAATTGTTTCAGGGAACGATTCGGCCTGTACGAAGTGGACTTTGAAGACCCGGCGCGTACCCGTACACCCAGAAAGTCGGCTTTCGTCTACAAGCAGATCTTGAAAACGCGCGCTATCGACCACGACTACGAGCCTGACTCCATGACCATGACTATAGACGACGGCTATTAAACGTTTGTAAAATTAAAGGTTTTCAACACAACGGCCATTGAAAGTTTGTAAATGTTTTAAGAATTTTGTAAATACATTAGTTTTAATCATCGTTATTATCATTTCAGCCTGTTTGAGTCCACTGCTGAACATAGGCCTCCCCCACAGACTGTCCCACGAAGCGCGATTCTGAGACTGCATCCATCGACTTCCCGCACATTTGCACAGGTCATCACTCTATCTAGTCGGGGTTCATCCTACACTCCGAGCGTGCCACTCAAGAACCTTATGAGATACTAAATGCTGCCCGCGACTACGTCTGCGTAGAATAGGCTGGAGGGGTAACATTCAGACAGAAAGACAGATATGCTTCAAAATATGTATATAAATTATAGTCTGTCTTATTCTGATGTATAAGCTATATTATTGTAAAGTTTCATTAGTATCCATTCAGTAGTATTTGCGTGAAAGTAACTACATACATACAAACGTTGTTTATATTATTAGTAAGGTTTATATATAGCCGGTCCCTTGCCTCTTCAGCTTACTAATCCTCCAAATACCGAATATAGCCCGAATGTGAGTTTATTAGAATATTATGATATTGAGGACAGAATAGTACTAAAATTACAAAATAAAACTAAACTCCAATGGCGAATGGAGAGGAATCTTACTGTGATATTTTTAACGAGAACAATGTATTCGAGATTACGAGAGAATAATGTATATTAGTTGAGTATTCTGGTGACAGCGAGCATTGCTAAAAAAGCAAAACACGTAAGTATTTGTCGAGATGTACGACGCTTTACTCATTTGGCAAGAGCATTAACCAAAAGAGGCGAGATCGATTGCGGCAGCGGCGTAAAGTTTTTCGGAAATTTATCTACAAAATGCGTAGGTAAGATTCATCCCACTACTTTGGACTAGAGCTAAAAATTAAACAACACTTCAGCTTGCTGAGCTTCTGAGCTATGACGGTTACCTTTGTGCTTCTCCACAGAAGCACAAAGGTAACCGTCATACACAAAAACCGACATCCACATGTCTTTTGGGGAGTTTTGCTTATAGTCTTTACTGCAAGCATCGGGTGTAGACTACCTACAGAGTAATTTGCCTCATAACCTATGTAGTGTAACAGATAAAGTCAAATGACATTTGCCTCTGAACAACAGAGCCTGTCTAACCTGTCTATGTCGCTAAAATCACCCAAAACATCTAAGCTAGCATCATCTAAAACTAGTTCATCCATCAATCATTTATTTCTTCCTTTTTTCTCATTGACTTTTGTCTTATAAATTAATTCATGACTATTCATTTTTCCCACGCCGTCCATTTTTACCTTAATTGTCAAAAACGTAAAATTATTACAATTTCTACATATAATGTTCCCTTATCGAACAACCAGGCACATATTTTACTACCTCTTTTTTTTTGGGAAAAGTTGCCAAACGAGCAGACGGTTCACCTGATGTTAAGTGAATACCGCCGCCCGAGGGTCTGCAGATGCGTTGACAACCTTTTTGGAAATTGGGCTCCGGCTACCTCACTCACCAGACGAAACGCGAAAGTATTATACTTCCACTTGACGCCGCTCTCGTGTGAGGTCGTGGTACTTACATGGACGAGCCTGCCACGAGGCTGCTGCGTGGCCCTACCACTATAATTCTCCGTCCAATACTCCGATCCCAGTCTGAAGACTAGCCCGTAGCTTCAGTCTGTCAGTATACTGCTAGAACTTGCCGAAGTGTTCTGTTTCATACATTTATTTGTTCCTCATCGTCCTGGCACCTCTTCAGTTAATATTTAAAACGTCTCCATGATCCCCTCATTATAGTTAGGTTTATAAATATACCAGCTTTCCGCCCACGGCTTCGCTCGCTTTGAAGCCCTTAAATAAATATCTTTCAAAACTTTACAACACTTTTTTCCAATTAAAAATATAGCCTATGTCCTTTCTAAAGCTCTAGACTATCCGTGTATCAAATTTCATGTAAATTGGTTCAGTAATTTTGGAGTGAAAGCGAGACAAACAGAGTTAGTTTCGCGTTTATAATATTAGTATGGCTTTCGCAGCGTCCTATAATATGGGAAGGATCTCAAAATACAATTCGTCTTAGACTGTGTTATATTCCAGCTTGTTTCTTAGTTCATAAAAGCAATGTACCATAAAGACGAGGAAGTCTTCCTACCTTACTGAAGTCTTCCTATTAGTAGATAAGGTTCCTGGATCACTTCGTGAACCCCAATTCTCAGGTCCGAAATCAAAAACTTACTGAAGGATGAACAGAATATTCGTTCAAATGTTACCTTATGGGTCTGACGCCGAGCGATGACGTGTCAGTAAGAAGTAAAGGCCCATTTACACGATGCCATTTTCTTGTACATACAAGAGCAATAATTGAATGCAATAAATTGCGCGCAATAATTTGTTAGACCATTTGTTGTTTAGACCATGCAACTCATTTATTGCTTCAATTTAATTGTATACAACAGGCAAGAAACTTGCACCGTGTAAATGGGTCTTAACACTCGACACTTGTAGTTGATTATATTCGATAATTAAACAATCAGCATCTCGGTGTCGAGTGCACTACAACGTTACATAACAATTGACGTCAAGAACACACTAAGTAGGGCCACACTTAAAGCTGTTTTTAGAACTGGCCAGTTAGAAACATTGCCAATGAAAACTTGTTTTATTTAATATTGAACATAGAGCTCTTTGGTAACGTTATAGGATATATTGCATTGATTCGTCATTTTTTTTTGTGAATTGGCGACAATTCCAAGCGCCAGCAGAATCGAACAAACTTAGGTATTGGTGACAGTCAAATACAAAAAAAAGTTACACGACCATTTATGCGTCAGGAAGCTTTGTACCAGTTTGATTCCCCATACTTTGACCGAGGCCGGAGACGCCACAGTGTAATATTTACCCCAATTTGGTAATCAAATTATACTTAAGTGTGAAATCGAAGTAAAGATTAGTAAACAAACAACTCTGGACTCTGTACTCGTTAACAATTATTGGTAATTACTGTTTTTTTTTTTTTAACAAAGTAACTACAGACTCGTGGTCAGACGAAACGCGAAAGTATTTGTCATACTTCCACTTTACCCTCGTCTTCTTTGAGGTCGTGGTACTTACCCGGACGGGCCTGCCCATTCGTGCAACAGCCGAGGCTGTTGCCTGGCCGTACCACTGTAAACATGTAGTATTAAAAGAAAAATAAAGTATTTTTCAAAATTGTATTTATTTACCCTCTTGAAGATTGATTGCTGCATGTTTCTACACTTTAATTTTTGGAAGCTATTATTGCGTTCCCAATTTGAATTAAAATAAAAAAGTAACTTTTTATTAAAATTAACCTGGGAAAACACATAGAAGCACACTGATCCCACAAAGACTCTAGGTTAAACAATATATAAAATGACAAATTAACAAATTATCGTATGAGAAAAATTGTGATATAATTTTCCTCTGATAAAAATGTTTTTCTTCAATCATATAATATAATTAATAGCAAAAGCATCTAAGTTGAAAGTGTTCAGTTTCAACTTAGAAGTATCGGTAAAAGTTAAGTAATTATCGATGTAGGCAAATGTTTTATTTTATGAATCACAGTAAAGATTGAAAATAGGTAGGATACGTTATCATGGAGTATGGTCAGCAACCCTGACACTCACCCAATATGTTCTGTTCAAGGCGTACTCCAAAAGTTTTTTATAATATTTTACTAACTTTACGATGTACTATTTGTACAGGTTTTTTTTAAAGTAAAGGTTGCTAACGAAAGTATGTTCGTGTTACGCAAATAGAGCCGTACCGGAGAATAACCGGCGATTCAAAAACAAGCACACTCATATATACGTCACTAGCGACCCGCCCGGCTCCGCACGGGTGCAATGAATATTTATTTTAGACATCGCATGAGAAACGTCTAAAATGAATTGGTTCACTCTATATGACTTTGTTTAATACTATATGGTGATACGACCGTGGAACCACGGGAACCCAAAGACTGCTATTTTACCCTGGAAACCTTTTAACTCGGTGCATTTTGGTTAACGCTATGTTACTGATTATGTACGTAACGTTACACTTTGTAAAGAAGGTCGAATACGTATGGGTGATTACCTAATCCATTATGTAAACATTTCCGTACACATATTGACAAGCGATTGATAAGAGATCATGATTTGAAGATATGGAGAGATTACTGAGAGGGCGCGAGCAAAACATATCTTTGAGTGGCAAACAAACAAGCCCACACCTGTTGAAAAATTTAGCAAAATTTGTAAAACAATGTACAAGCACCATTGTGAAAAGTTTCAAGCGATTTGCGGTTCACCTGATGTTAAATTAATACTGACGCCCATGGACATCTGCAACACCCGATAGCTTGCTGATGCGTTATAAAAGTCTCCCTCACCAGATGAAACGCGAAAGTTTTATCCACCAATGATGTCTAATAATATAGATGAGACATTGCGCGGCGCTTAAAAATTGTTCCGCTTTACATTATAATATGACATAATATATGTGAGCCGTGATAGCTCCGTGTCCGGGCGCTCGCCTTTAATTCAATATACTCGAGCAACCTGAGTTCGATCCCCGGTGCCGGCACCAATGAAGTTTTTAACTTTAAGTGCTGACTTATCACGTGCTCCGCGGTGAAGGAAAACATCGTGAGGAAACCTGCATATTTTCGAAATAATAAAAAAAAATATATATATTTCGAAAATATGTGAAGTCCGCCAATCCGCAGTGGGGCCGCGTGGTGGACTATGCCCTGATACCCTCTGTATAGAGGAGGCCTTTGCCCAGCAGTGGGACATGTACAGGCTGTTACTTTATGTGGATGGAAAGAGTTAGCAGTCTATTGAATTGAAATCTAATTACGACAATTGGTGTAACTTGAGCGCCTCAATTTTGGTGCGCCAGTGTCATCATATCTTTGTAAATAATATCATTGACGACTACACCATTACCCTCACTCGGCAATATTTTATTATTT